AAAAAAAAAAAAAAAACAATTCAACATGCTATTAGCACAAAATTGAACAGTTAAATGGTCTTGCAACTGAGCTCGGAAAGCATCGGAGGATTTAGTGTCAGAAAAATAAGAGAAAAATCATCAATAAGAGAATTATCTGAAAACAGCTAACAAATCGGCAGCTATGAGTAGTAAACCGGAACGGCTAGCGAATCGTTAAGCAGAGTAAAATTCACAAAAGAAGCAAATGAATCTGGGAAAAAACGCACCAACGAAGAAGTTCCCGTCAACATTTTGTGGGCGTCTTAGTCTGTTGCTCTTCGAGTAAGCTTCGGAAGAAGCTTTGATACGGAAGAAGGAGGGAGTCAGTCCGGTCACCCGCACCGCCATGAGAAGACAAGCACTGAGAGCAAAGAGCCTTATAGATAGATATAAATGATCGTTTAAGCGCCAATTTGATCGTGACACCCATCATTTACGATGGATAAACATGAAACAAGTTTTTCTTTTTTGATCATCTAACTACAACCACGTATTCTTGTGACACGAGTCAATTTAAAAATATGCATACATATATATTTTAAAAAGTATATATATATTTTATTTTGCTCTATATGAAGTGTATAATACAAATTAAATTGAGTATATCTATATAATCAATATTTTAAATTGTTTATTAAAAACAATAAATTTGTTATTGTATACTTTGTCGAAGTATACATAAAAATAAAAATCAATTAAAAACTAAAGAAATGTCGGTGACCAATAATAGTGCATATAGTTCCCATTTTCTTGCCTCTTGGTAGTGAAAAAATCAATTAAAACTAAAAAAGTGTCGCACAATGAATGTGCATATTGTTCACGTCTTCTGGTGGTGCAAAATGCAGCGAGCAAGTTTTTCACACAACCTCCAAGCGGAGTTAGATTATAGAGCAATTTGATGTAAGTTCTAATGGGACACCTTTTTGTTTCAACTTTGGTACACAATTATGGGCATAAAATTCTAGCTGCATACTCCTTATCCATTATATAGTACAATGATTTTTCAGTTAATCGTTCGGTTTGTAAATTCAGATGACAAAAAAAATCCAGATCAAAATCATTACACCAAATATCAGACAGTGTGTAAAAGCAGAATAAGCAAGCCACCAGTTAACAAAATTCAATTTCAGCATGGAGAGAGAGAGAAAAAAAAAAAATCAAAATAACAAGGAGAATGCCCTGCTGCCGCACCACCGAGTCCAACCACTAGCTACCTCAGCACTAAACCACCAAATCGAGCCCTTCAACCACATCCTCACAACTCAAGATATGCTTTTGTAGTCTGCACTTTCGTGGTGGGGATCAGCACTATAAACAGGATGAGTTTGTTTAGTTGATAGCAGTCAATAACACAAGGAACTCTGTCCAAGGACCCATTTTTTCTTCATATCTCAATCAGAATCCTGCCATTAACCAACATGTCTTCCACTAAACTCATTATGAGATTGACACTTAACTCCAATGGGAACCAACAACCAAACTAGTTTCAACACCTGCCAAAACTTCACCCACGCACTCACACACACAGAGAGAGAGAGAGAGAGAGAGAGAGAGAGAGAGAGAGAGAGAGAGAGAGAGAGAGAGAGAGAGAGAGAGAGTTGTATAGTAGTACCGCCTAATTCCTCAGAGGTTAACAAGAATAAAGGAATTTTCAAGGAAGCAGCATCCTAAAGCACTTTGCTTGTAATGAAAACGAGCTTCAGCAGCCCGTAAACAATGCTTCCAAATAGTCATCCACATAAGCTAAGCACGGCCAATGATCCGTTCTAATCCGAACCAGAGTTGAAAATTCACGAACCTCCATTTGGAAAAGAAGATGAAATCTCGGTGGAAGAAATATCAAAATTTGGAAGTACCCAATATTTTTCTGACTAGTCGGGATTTGATCCCCTCCGTAGTCTTCATCGCCAAAGTACTTGAGATAAAGCGGCGCTGAGGAACTAGTCGGTGAACATGTTACGTCAAACAATGAATCCGAACCGAAATCCTTCCACACGGCATCCTTGATCACACCCCCAGCTTTCACCATATCCACAAGTGTTTGACCGATAACACAAACAACAAAAGGTGCCAGGTGGCACTCAACGGCTTGAACCAAGGATGTCAAAGGAATTTCGACAAGTTTGACCGACCGAGTCCCACTTATTGCAGCAACTCCTTTTCCTCCCTTCAAAACAAAGGTTTCTCTACCTGTGGTAGATGATGTCTCGCAGGCCTCCCATAATGCATCGAATAGGTGCACATAATAACTCGGCAGATCACCCTCTGCTATATCATCTGGAGGAATGACTCTCAAAAACATATCTTCAATCCCCACAGAGATATTCTGGAGCTGCTCCTTAATTACCTGACCATTGTCTGCATTAGTTTCAATAAAAATGTCAACCAGACCAGGCACGGGCTCTCGTGGCTCTAATTCTATACATAGAGGAGCTTTGAAATTTTCCTCTTCCACGTGACCATTTTCCACCGGAGCAATAGCTAATGATGATGAGTCACTTTCGCTCATGGGTTTAACGTTTTTAGGAGGCGAGCCGAGAAGGAAAGGAATATGATATGGCTTGATAAGCCCATATGGAGCGGAGGATGTGAATTTGAGGACTGTAGCGTATAGCCCAGGAAGTTTGTCCATCACATTACTGACTTCCATTGCAGCACTGAAAGCCTCTGAATCGAACCTCAGACTACACCAAATCTTGATCGTAATCCCTGGCATATGTCTATAATCAGGAATAAATGCAAAATGTCTTCTTAGTTCCCTGACAATTTCTGAAACTTTTGCATCCATAACACGTAGAGGCTCTTTCTGTTGATCACTTGCTGAAATAATACCGCCACTCGTACTAACTTCAGAGTCCCTTTCCTTGTCAGCTGGTTCACTGTCCCTGATGCCCTCAAAGAAACCAGGTCTGTGAGGATTGATGTCAAAATTTGGCAGAGACAGGGACCATGACTGGTTTACCAATAAAGGCATCAGACGTTCGACATGGATATAAGAAGCGATACTGCTTGGCATTTTAAGCCCAGGTAAAGCTTGAGGAGACTGAAAACTAAAGAATGCACCAGAATGAGTAGATGGGGATATTCCAAGCAGACTTTCCCCCATGTTCAGTATGCCTTTGAGCTTCTTCCCTGGTAAACAAATAAGCATTCGCAGGTAAAATCTGCAATAAACCATCTTCAATGAGACGACATTTAGTTATGTTGATATGATGAGCAAGGTAAAGAACTCTGGAAACAAACTCGTTCAAATTTTCCCCATTGAGAAAAATGCTTTAAATATTTTTAACCTTATCTTGAAGTTCTTAATTGAACAAGTGTGTACATAAAATGTATGAAATATAAAGGGGTAGGGATCGATATTCTAACGCTCACCTTGCATTGTCTCGGACCTCCAGATCAGGAAAATAAAGACAAGCAGATGCAAGGAGATGAGATAGCAGAGTAAATAAGCTAGAGCTATGGTGGTGAATCAACATTGTTCGGCAAATAGCAAGAGTTTTACTGCCATAATGCCATGATTTTAACCCTGTATCAGGGCCATGTTCATCCACAAGAAAGATTATGAATCTCATGAGGAGGTTTATCAGCCGAATGGGAGAAACTTTCTCACTTTCAGAAATCCTCTCAAACAAGGGGAAGTAATGACCTAGGCTGTAGCCTTTTTTGAGTTTTGGAAGCAGATGCTTATCGAGGGTACTAAGAAGATGATCCCCTAACCAGTGGTGCTTATCACACCCCAACAAGCGATCAATGCATGCAATAATTACTGGAACTAATCCCCTGTACGCCAATGTTGAGTCTACCAGCATATTCTGCACATTAAAATGTAAAGAGATTTTATTGCAGACTTGTGACACAACTATAGGCAAAGCACTCACGAATAACATCAACTATAATTTTTACGTGTATGGAGCTATATCGATGTGTTGTACATGATTTCATTTTTGCTTCAATGTTTAGAAAGCTATGGAAACATGCAAAAGATCCAGAACCATTTACAAATTCACTACAACCACAAAAAAGGTTTTATAGTGTTAATTTCAGAACTTCTATATAGAGGCTAATGGTATAATTCAGGAGTCCAAAATGAAATATTGGCGAGCACTATCATCTTAATCTTAAGCTGTCATTCTTCGGTGGAGAAGGAAAATTAAAATAAGAAACCATCCAATAGCAACCACAAAAGAGTCTGTAAGCTAATTTTCTCCTACAGAGTATCTTCTTTTCTTTTTTCCTCTCCTTTTCTTTTCTTTTTTGCTTTATTTCATTCCGGAAGGGATAGAATCCGGAATGAGGATATTCGAGAGGTCGGGGTGGCTCCAATTGAGGAGAAATTGGTTCAACATCAGCTGAGGTGGTTCGGACATGTCCAACGGAGGCCTCCTGATGCACCGGTGCGTAGGGGAGTTCTACAGCGGGTCGATG